TCTGTTGGAGCTGTGAGTTGCACACCCTCTTCCCCAAACCCTCTTCCCCACACCCTCTTCCCCACACCCTCTTCCCCACACCCTCTTCCCCACACCCTCTTTCCCACACCCTCTTCCCCACACCCTCTTCCCCACACCCTCTTCCCCACACCCTCTTCCCCACATCCTCTTTCCAACACCCGTTCCCGCACCCGTTCCATAAGCCAAATGCCTGAACCTTAGAGCCTTACACAATCAGTCACTGTAACCCGCTGCATGCACCTCCATCAGGGTGCGTTCTCCTCTTCGCTTCCTCCTTCCAGTTCTCCCCGTGACTGCTCCCTTTCATTCCTCCGCACACTGGTTCTTTGCACCCCAGCATCAGCATCATCACTCACTGCAAGCTTTTGCGTGTGCCGCACTCCTCCCCCCCTGTGCAGAGACGTGCCAATAAACAGCTTATCGTACATATGGGATATTGAAAACCGCTTTCCCAGCCTCGAGAAACTGTACGCCGTCTATCACATGTGCTGTGTTGTGTGTGCCCTGGGCTGCTGAACCATTGTGTGCTTGTGCCCAACCCGTGGTATATGAGGAAAGAATTTCGAGACGTCTCACAAGCTGATTTTCGAGACGTTTCAAAACTCGTTTTTTTTCTCTCCGAGACGTCGCAAGATTCTACCGTGCGTGGTGAGTAAGTCCAACCTTGTGCGTTGCTTGCTGCATGAGTGACAGCTCTCAAACGAGTGTAACACAAACATGATGAGTATTTGTTCGCCCTCGCCCTCGCCCTCACCCTCGCCCTCGCCCTCGCCCTCGCCCTCGCCCTCGCCCTCGCCCTCGCCCTCGCCCTCGCCCTCGCCCTCGCCCTCGCCCTCGCCCTCGCCCTCGCCCTCGCCCTCGCCCTCGCCCTCGCCCTCGCCCTCGCCCTCGCCCTCGCTGCCGCTGCCACCGCCGCCGCCGCCGCCGTCGTCTCCACACCAGCCCCGTCCCCGTCCCCGTCCCCGTCCCCGTCCCCGTCCCCGTCCCCGTCCCCGTCCGCGTCACCATATCGTACACCGTCACAGCTTGCATGGCCAGCGTCACTGTCATCGCTCATCTGTGCAAGCGTTTCACGAATCCTGCGCACCCTTGCGGCACCGCATGGCAGGAATCTGAGCTCCAACCTGATTGAAGATGGCAGCCTTCCTGTCCTGGCTCGTCTCACCGGCCTCACATCTCTGTCAGTCCACTCCACTCCACTTCACTCCACTCCGCTGCATCATCCCTAACCGTAGGCGCATTATTGGGCGCCTCAAAAGCCGGCCTCACGTCTCTGATAGTCCTCCCCACTCCGCTGCATCATCCCTTTCCCACGCTTTCGTCCGTTCCAGCATGCATGAAGGGACTTGTCGCCTTTGTCGATGCACTCAGCCATGGCACTAATCCAAGTGAATTCACATTTGCAACTGGCCATGCTTTTCACCAATGCAGATGCATCCCCATTCATTTACCTCCCCATCGCCAAACCTCCCTGGAGGTCACTCCATCACCAGGACCCCACATCTCAGCCTGCCTGCCATTATCCCTCCCTGCATCACCGTGCCCACTGTGCCTGCGTGATGTGTGTGTGTGTGTGTGTGTGTCTGTGTGTGTGTGTGTGTGTGTATGTGTGTGTGTGTGTGTGTGTCTGTGTGTGTGTGTGTGTCTGTGTGTGTGTGTGTGTCTGTGTGTGTGTGTGTGTCTGTGTGTGTGTGTGTGTGTGTGTGAGCACGCGCGCGCTCATGTGTGTGTGTGTGTGTGGGCGCGCGCGCGCATGTGTGTGTGTGTGTGTGGGCGCGCGCGTGTGTGTGTGTGTGTGTGTGTGTGTGTGGGGGGGGGCGCGCGCGCGCATGTGTGTGTGTGTGTGTGTGTGTGTGGGCGCGCGCGAGCATGTGTGTGTGTGTGTGGGAGGGGGGGAGGGGGGGGGGCGCGCGCGCATGTGTGTGTGTGTGTGTGGGCGCGCGCGCGCGCGCGCGTGTGTGTGTGTGTGTGTGTGTGCGCGTGTGTCAAGGCCGTGCTTCCAAGTTCCAACCAATCCAAGCCATTCATTTCTCTGCGTGCGTGCCTGCTTGATCCACCTTCCCCAACGCATGTTTGCTCGTGCGTGCATGTTTGTGGGGTTGGGAGGGGAGGCGTGCGCATGCACGCATGCATCTGCATGTGTGCATGGGTGCGTGCAATCTTGCTGCGCATGTGTGGCGGTGTCGCCATGAATCAACAGGGATCTCTCATCAAACCAGTTGGAGGGCAACCAGGTGTTGGAAAGTCTCAGCCTGCCCACCTTGCAATTCTTGTACGTGCAGCTTTTTCCTTTTTCTTTCTTTGAAACTGCTTATCTTTTGAGACAGTGTCCCCCTTGCAGTGCATGTAGGTGCAATTCATTCATTCATGCTTTCTCTCAGCCTTTTCTGTGATGCTGAAGCTGACCTGCCATTGCACCTGCCGTCTCATGCCATGCGTGTACCATCAGGAATCTTTCTAACAACGGGCTGAGAGGCAGTCTGCCTGAATCTCTCACAACCATGACTAACCTGGTCACCCTGTGAGTGTCCTCACAGCACTTGCATCTCCATCCATCGTTTCCTTCCCTCCGGACATGCATTTTGATTTCATGCCGCATGCATTCACATGCGCGGTGCAATCATATCGTGACTTGATTTTGCTGCATCGTGTCCATCCACTAGATTCATCTCCAACCGCTGGCAGGTGGTGATTCCTTTTTGATAGCCCCTCCACCACACATGGTGTCTCTCGTGCTCATGCACGCTGGGAATCTTGTCATGCTTCTAGCCATAACAAGCTGCTTGGATTGGAACCAGTCTTTCCAGGTCTCTTCTTTCTTGTTTTGAGTCGACTCAAAACACGACTCCTGCACGCTGGGAACCTTGTCATACTACTAGCCATAACAAGCTGCTTCAGCTTCAAACCAGTCTTTCCAGGTCTCGTCTTTCTCCACAACTGCTTTCTTCGCTTGTTGTGATCCTCTGCCATGCCTTTGCATGTGTGCAGAAGCGTTGCATCCAATTATATGGAAGGGACCATCCCCCCAGCCCTTGGAAAGTTACGCAGTCTCTCAACCCTGTAAGCTCTAAGAGAAAATAAGTGTAGTATTCAATAGTCAAGTAGCGCTGACACAGAAGAGGCATGCACACAACGGGTACTTCCTCTGAAGAGGACAGCCAAGGGTGGCTATGCACAAAGCGGTGGGTTGCGGGCAGAGGAGTGCGGGTAGAGGAGAGGGAAGGAATGAGGATGAAGCTCAAAGCAACACTCTCTATGTTTTTCACCCCCTCCCTTCCTTCGCCCCCTCCTTGGCTTGACATCCTCAGAGTCACCAATCCCGGTGGTCTCAAGTGCCCTGACAGCTACACCAGCTGTGGTGTGCCTCAGAATGCGTCCTCTGGCTTCTGCCGCGCCTGCCCTGACTTCTGCGCCACTTGTGAGCCCCGCTCTTGAGAGGAAGACAGGTGGAGGAGGGGCCAGTCTCTCTTTCTTTAAGCATCGAGTTGCCCTTTCGATTCAATCACTCGTCTTTCACTTGTCAATCACTTGTCAATCACTCGTCAATCATTCCTCAATCACTTGTCAATTACTTGTCAATCACTCGTCAATCACTTGTCAATCACTCGTCAATCACTTGTCAATCACTTCCATCACTTGTCAACTACGGGTCGATTAACGAGATGTTTGAGCGCTCTCGTTTGTTTGCAGGTGACAAGCGCAAGTCGCTTTCCCCAGGCGTTATCGCGGCAATCGTGGCTGCGGCTGCTGCTGTCGTCACTGCAGCACTTGCTGCACTGCTCTACTGCTGCTGCGTCGACAAACGTGCGTCCGGTCCCATCCCGTCCCGTCTCACACCGCCCTTGCTCCCCTGGCGTGGCTCGATGTGCCGTGAGAGCAACATAAGGTTGCCTTCATACATTTCTGTGCCGTCATGCATACCGGATGACCATTCCAGCGAGCACCCATGTGTGGCGTGCCTCCCAGCCATTCCAGCAGCAAGCAGCACGCACTTTTCCCACTTGGATGCAGGAGCTCAAGGCGGCAACACTTTCCACCTTGGAAGGAATGGGTGTTGTTGAAAAAACATGCTGTTTACTCTGCATCGCATTCGTTGCCTCCCCTCCCCGCTCTGCCGCGTCTGCTCTGCTCTGCTCTGCTCCTCCCCACAGCGCTGGTGAGCAGCAAGGCGGCAGCACAGGTGTGTCAGGAGTATTCCCTGGCGGCGGTGGCGAAGGCAACCAACAAATGGTCCGAGGCCAACCTGCTGGGCACGGGGGGCTTTGGTGATGTGTACCGTGCCGTGTCTCCCACCGATGGTGCCAC